CAACAGCAGCAGCAGCAGCAACAGCAGCAGCAGCAGCAGCAGCAGCAGCACTCACGTATGCCAAGGAGTTTCTTTTTAATCTCTGCAATTTTGTCTGCTTCATCATCAGGTGCTTCCATTGCTGCTTGCAGAGACTGCTGCTGTTCCTGCTGCTTGTTGCTGCTGCTGCTGCTGCTGGTTCTGTTGCTGCTGCTGCTGCTGCTGCTGCTGCTGGTCTGCTCCTCCGTATCTTCGATCACAATTTGCGTTTTCTTTGCTTCAAAATCCGGCAGAGGGACCCTCAAAGCCATTTGTTTTATTTTTTCTTCATCCTTCTCTTCTTCTATACCCTGCAGCAGCAGCAGCAGCAGCAGCAGCAGCAATGGTAGCAGCAAGAACAGTAGTAGCAGCAGCAGTAGCAACAGCAGCAGCAAAATCAGCAACGGCAGCAGCAACACTTGTAGATCGAAACCCTCCTAAACCCTAAACCCTAAACCCTCCTCAACCCTACAAAACCCTCCTACTAAACCCTAAACCCTCCTACAAAACCCTAAACCCTAAACCCTCAACCCTAAACCCTCTTACAAAGCCCTAAACCCTCCTACAAAGCGCTACAAAACCCTCCAACAAAACCCTCATACAAAACCCTAAACCCTAAACCCTAAACCCTAAACCCTAAACCCTAAACCCTAAACCCTCAGTTACAAAACCCTCGAAAGCCCTTGCATAACCCCTTAAACGGGATTCCTGTCCCCATAATAATAATAATAATAATATTAACTAACTAAATAAATAAATAAATAAGAAGGTTAGCTTACGAATGCATGAGCGAAGAGTTTAGCCGCAGCAAGCAAAAACTGTAGATGCAGAGGGTTTGAAACATCAAAAGAGAGAGGCTGAGGAGGTCGCTTCGGCGCTGTCCAGAAGGGGACGCCGGCTTGAGTAATGTGATTAAGCGGAAATGCAGCGAGCAGTTGAAGTATTTGAAGGCGAAACAAATCGTTAAATAACAATACACTCAGCCGCACGCAGCATAAAGTGCTAGCAGGAGAGACAGTAGTTGTTGTTGTAGTTGTTGTTGTTGCTGTTGTTGCTGTTGCTGCTGAAGAAGAAGAAGAAGAAGAGGATGAAGGGTCTTCAAATACAGCTAGGGTTTGCTGCAGCTGCTCTAACCGCTGCAGCTGCTGCGCTGAGCTACCCTCTATACACAAAACAGCAGCAACAGCAACAGCAGCAACAGCAACAGCAGCAACAGCAACATGAAACTGCAGCAACACCAATAACAATATACTATACAAGAATACACAAACAGTAGCAGCAGCAGCAGCAGCAGCAGCAAGCAGCTTAAAACCATCAAACAACAGCAGCAACAGCAGCAGCAACAACAGCAACATGAAGCAGCAACAGCAGCAGCAACAGCCCAAAGAGTGATGGCGTGCAGCAGCGACAGCAGATGACAATGCTTTAGCGTTCCCGCTAGAACGAGGGTTTAGGGTTTAGGGTTTAGGGTTTAGCTACCTGTTTGAATTTGCTCTAGGAATGCCTTAGGGTTTGCTGCAAACTGTCGGGCTTCCGACATGCGATCGTAGAATAAACCCTCAAAGACATCTCGCGCCCACTCTAAATAATAAATAAACAAACAAATAAATAAATATAATTAAATATAATTAAATATAATTAAATATATATATATATAAAGATAAACAATTCAATAGAATTTAACATTATAAGAGGTTAAAAAGAATAAGTAAAGGCACTACCTCTAACAGCAGCAACACAAAACTAAACAAACAAATATCATAAAATAAACAAATAAATTAAATAAATATAATTAAATAAACAAATTAAACAATTATAAATAAATAAATAAATATAACTAAATAAATAAACAAGTTAAATAAATATAATTAAAAATAAATAAACAAATTAAATAAAAATAATTAAATAAACGAATAAATTAAATAAATTAAATAAATAAAACAAATATAAACAAATAAACAAATAAATTAAACAAATATAACTAAATAAATAAATAAACAAAACAAATATAACTAAATAAACAAATAAATAAATAAATAAATAAATAAAACAAATAGAACTAAATAAACAAACAAATTAAACAAATATAGAACTAAATAAACAAACAAATAAACAAATAAATAAATAAATAAATAAATAAAACTAAATAAACAAACAAATTAAACAAAAATAACTAAATAAACAAACAAATTAAACAAATATAACTAAATAAATAAACAAATAAATAAATAAATAAATAAAACTAAATAAACAAACAACTCACCTATAGAGTGTTCGACCGTATGAGGGAAGTGTCTGAGAGTGCAGAGGGGTATAGACTCCTCAGGAGGGTCCACAGAGTCTGAGTAGCACTGCGTAAGGTACGGAACAACAACCTGCAGCAGCAGCACCAGCAGCAGCAGCAGCAGCAGCAGCAGCGGCGAAACAAGTAGCATTAGCAGCAGCAGCAAGCGAAGCATTATACCAGTTGCAGTGACTGTTGTCGTAGTTAGAGAAGCTGCAATAGCAGCAGCAATAATCAGTAGCAGCAGCAATAGCAGCAGCAATAGCAGCAGCAATAGCAGCAGCTGCTTCTCCGTGAAAGGGGAAGCAGCAGCAGCAGCAAAAGCAGCACCACGGCAGCAACGCCGAGAGCAGCACCAGCAGCAGCAGCAACAGAAGCGAAGACAACAAAACATTATCAGAGTGGTGAGACACAAAAAAGAGAAGGCAAATAGAAACAACAAAACCCTAAACCCTAAACCCTAAACCCAAAACCCTAAACCCTAGAGACGAACCTGAACATTCCCCTTCGTTCCCAAGGTGCCGCTCTCTAGCAAGGGTTTGCAGAAGCTGACACAGCGCGAATCTACGTACTGCCTAGCCTGAATATATAAACCCTCAGCAACAAGAGTCTAGGGTTTAGGGTTTAGGGTTTACATACAGGAGAGAGAGGGATCCATGCTTCGTTCAGAAGCTGCAAAGGAAGGACTACAATCCTACAAGACTCGTCTTTAAGGGTTTAGGGTTTTGAATGCTCCATTAGGGTTTAGGGTTTTGACTACTTTATTAGGGTTTAGAGTTATTAAGATACAATTCAATTAGGGTTTATGGTTGAGAAGAAGATTTGATTAGGGTTTAGAGTAAAGATACATTTCAACTACGTTGTATGGTGGATAAGAAGATCCTATTAGGGTTTAGGGTTTAGGGTTTAGGGTTT